CGTGTCCAGTGCTGGTTTATCGGTGACGTCAACAAGTTTTCTTGAACACTTTCACCCCAGTCGTCGTCGTGTCGAACACGATGGTCGACACGGTCGTCGTCGTGTCGAACACGATAGTCGTCGTGTTGAACACGATCGTTGTCGTGTCCGACACACTGGTCGTCGTGTCAAACACGACGGTCGTCGTGTTGAACACGATCGTTGTCGTGTGCAACACGATGGTCATCGTGTCAAACACGATCGCCGTACACGATGGTCGTCGTGTTGAACACGATCGTTGTCGTGTCCGACACGCTGGTCATCGTGTCAAACACGATGGTCGTCGTGTTGAACACGATTGTTGTCGTGTCTGACAAGTTGGTCGTCGTGTCAAACACGATGGTCGTCGTGTCGAACATGACGGTCGTCGTGTCCGACACGTTCATCGTCGTGTCGAACACGATCCTTGTCGTGTCGAACACGTTGGTTGTCGTGTCGAACACGATCGTCGTCGGGTCGAACACGATCGCCATCGTGTCGAACACGGCCGTCTTCGTGTTGCACACGACTGCCATCGTATCGAGCACGACCGTCTTCTTGTCTGACACTCTCGTCGACAACGGTCGTCGTGTCCAGCATGATGGTCGTCGTGTCTGACACGGTGGCCGTCATGTCGAGCACGCTGGTCGTCGTGTCCGCCACGGTCAAACGCGGTCTTGGTCGTGTCGAACGCCATCACGGTCGTGTCGAACACCCTGCTCTTTTTCGCCTCGACCCCCACCTATGTTTCGACTTACGCAGAGTTTAGTGCGAGTTGCGCCAGCAGAACACAGTGCCCGGGTGACTGCCTTTTGTCTCTTGTAGCACTGACTGCTTGTTGCGAGATTGCGCCACGACCCCCACCTTGTAATATACAATGGAGCTCCTGTCGTGTTGGGCACGACATTGGCGTCGCCGCAGTCGTTTGCCTTCTCAACCTGGCTATCTAGAAACCCGTCGTGCGCCGTAGAACGAACTCTGCGCGAATTTTGCTTCGCATCCTCGGAGTCTGGTACCCGGGACCCTTCCGTGTTGGGCGAGGCGGTCGCTTCGCCACGATGGTATTCCTGCTCACTCGTGACAGTTTTCCTGCCCCCTCTGCGTGGGTGGTGATTACCACGCTTACCACAGGTGTCCAGTCGCTATAGTTACTGGAGTAATATAGAATCTTTCCTATCAATGCCCTCGTGCCAAGCTGTGTGCTACGCGCCAGAGTCTTCGTCGTTCCGCTGTTGGTGCCCGCTGGGTTTGGCGCGCCGTGGTCTATGCCTTTCCGAAGCTGGTGCCCGACGTGACATGTGCTGCGTTTCCTGTTGCGCATCAAAAACTCCGCCTTTTCAATGCTGTTGCACACTGTGTTTCCGGTTGCTGGTGCCCTGACTCGACATGTGCTACGCTTCCCACTGTCGATCGATCTCCGACTTGGACAAACTCTTTCGCGAGTATTGCGCCTTTGACACGGATTGGGCCTGATGACAGGATTGCTGCTCAGATTCCACGGTCGTGTGTTATCCTCTCTCGGATGTTTCCTGTTCCCCTCCGTCCAGTGTAAGGCTGTGTTTCTCAGGGTCATTTGTAGGGTTGTGTTTCTCGCTGTTGTGTAGGGATGGTTGTCTGCTCCATTTCATTGACTTCTGATTTTCGCCTTTTGACAGTGGTCCGCTGTTTTATTGTCGCAAACACGTCTCGTGCATGGCTTGTGGTGTGCATGCTATGCCACAGCAGACTTGCAGCACAACCTTGGAAAGCATGGATTGTGTGGCGTCTAATACAATGCTCAACGAGGATTTTCCTCCACCGCACCTGCCAATGTGTTCACAAGATGTTTGAAGTGGTCACGATCATGTCGATAATGCTCCGGAATCTCCTGCTCATAAGAGGTCACAAAATATTGCGTGTGCGGACACTACATGTGAAAGTGTGTATCCCGTCCTTCGATGCCCAGTTCGAACCTGTGATGCAGAGAGTGCTCAAGGTCAGGAGGGTAAGGCCTCCTCTACTGACAACGACGTATCCGATGTAGATCGTGTTGTATGGGTGCCGAGGAGTTCACTTCGAGATTTCGAGTACACAGGTCTTCTGTTTGGTGAGGGTGATGAAGGTGGTTCAGATTCAAGTGCTTCGGTGTCGTCTAGTGCTGATAGTTCTCCCGATAAAACCGATTTTCTACAAACGTACGCTGACCGGAACAGTGACCACTGTTGTCGAAATGACGATGAGAATTGTGACGTGATCTCTGATTTCGATGACATTTTTTCAAAACGTCTGTCCTCAGAGAAGCGTCCTTATACTTTTYGTCTYAGAATGYCSCGRTCAAAKAAGATTCTGCAATCAGTTCATAGAAAACTCAMMAAAAAARCACTGGCGAGTGTGCRTGGGCAGGTTTGCTGTAAGCGAGAGTGTTGCGCTCAAATGACCCTGGACGACATCAAAGTTGTCCGGAGCGCATACTACTCTAAGAACCWGCAGAGCAGGGATGCGDGGTGGGTTGAAACGTTGAAGAGGTTCACCTTCATAGAAGATGAAAAGGAGATTGTTCAACCTATTGTGGGGAGACGAAAGGTGTGCATTACTGCTTGGTGTTTCACACTGGGTGTATGTAGGAATACGTTTCTCAAAAAAAGGATGACTTTGTCAAAAGGCTACAATATGCCGGAGCATGGCAGTACTGGAATCAGACGCACATCAGCAACATATGCGACGATGTACGGGAAACTAAGCTCTTTCGTGCGAGACAACAGAGATTCCATGCCCAATGACATGAAGACCAAACAGGGGGAATCAAAAGTGTTGTTGAGATTGCCTGCTTGCTATAACAAGGTTGATATTTATAAGTTGCTAAAGTCGCAATTCGACAACACGGGTGCTCCTTTTGTTTCTCTCCAAGTTTTTTACAACATGTGGAGAACGCACTTCTGGCATGTGAAATTCCATGACATTGATCAAAACTTTGCGAAATGCGAGAAATGTGTTGAATACAAAGAATCTATCAATTCCGCAAAGTTCATGCGTGTGCGTGAGTACTTTGTTTCGTTACGTGAGAAACACTTGGACTTGCAGCTCCAACATCGTGCTGCGTATGAGGTGTGGAAGGATGAGTCGAAGAGACCAGGTTCCAACAGTTTGTGCATCATCATTGACGGCATGGACCAAAGCAAGACCAACATTCCACACTTTGGCGGAGAGAACAAATCGAAGGCATTCGCAAATATTCCGATGTTGAAAACGAATCTAACAGCTATTATTGCACACGGCCGCTCAACATCGGTCCATGTTCACACATAATACCCTTGTTATCCACATCATTCTAATGCTGTAGTGTCATCCATTATGAAAGTTCTCCGCGACATTCAGGCGACGAGCGACTTGCCTCCTAAACTGAGGATACAAGCTGACAACTGTTGGAGAGAAAACAAAAACAGATACGATTTGGCACTCGCTGCAGCTTTGGTGAAATTTGGTTTCTTCAAAGAAGTCGAATTTGGTTTTATGTCAGTGGGACACACACATACGGACGTTGATGCCACTTCCAGTCATTTCTCTCGCAAACTGAAAATGCACGATGCATATACCATGCTCGACCTCTTCAAGCTCGTTGCCAGTTCTCAAAAAGAACGTCATCGTGCACATTCATGGATGAAATTGCTGATTGGCGAGCTGTTGCTAAACCCTTCCTGGTCAAGAGACTGGCCGGTCATACTCGTCCACATGCATTTAGGTTTTATATGTAGGATGACAATCTTGTGTTCCAGTGGAAAGAGTATTGCACTTCTCCTGAATGGTCTGCTCCAGTATATTGTTTTAAACGAGATGAAAACAAAGCATATGCTGGACCTGAATGGCGATTCATGCCATCACCTGTTCCGCCATCAACTTCTCTTGCTACTAAAGATAAGAATTTGGATTTCGAATCGGGAATTGAAGGTGTGAAGACGTTTGTTGGGTGGTTGGAGAACAAGCGACACGAGTGGTTGAGAATGAAAGATGAGGTTAGCTTCTCAAAGGAGAGTGCTCTTTCACACTGGAAAACTTTCCTCGAGACAGTCGAGGAGCATTACGGGTCTGGGTTTGCGAAAACTTCACTCAAGGCTGGCTTCTGGCCCTCACAAGACAAAATTAAGAAGGATGATCCAGATGATATTGATATTGCCTTCCTCTTGAAGAGCAGTGAGAATAAGGAGTCGTTGTTCGTTGAACCGGCCAATGAGCGTCCAAAGGCGGAGCTGAACCCAGTTGTGGATGTCGAAAAAGGCCAATTCGTTCTCTTGCGTCCTTTCCAGGATGATATCGATGAGGGAGTTCCTGTATGGATGTATAGAGTCATTTTCGATGTAGACAACGATATGAAGTCGTCAACTTTCAATCATATTCTTATTGAATATTGGGTGCCACAACCTATTGCTAAACGTCTTTCTGTGCAATATTCGAACGCATGGAAGAAGACGTGGAAGAAAGACAACACAACATCACAGCAGTGGCAGCATGTGGATTGTGTTGTGTGGAGCTGGACATCAAAGACATTGCATTTAGAAAATGGAGTGCACATTCCAAAATCGGTCAGAGAGAAGGCTTTGGTATGCCTTTCACTTCCCGATAATAAAGATCAGTAGGTTCTCAATAGGTTTTGAAGAAGAGCTAATCGTTTTTCTTTACACGTATTAGTACGTTATTTAGTTGTCATTGAGCTTTCATTTATATATATTTAAACTGTATTTTCATGTGTTGCAGAATGGTTCAACCATTTGTGATGACTGGATGACCGCCAAGTAACATGGTGTGGGGAAGAAATATATGGCATGATATGGGTCCAGTTTTTTTCACATCCGAAGTGATCTTTGACAGTGCAGTACTCAGTGTTAGAGGTGTGGATGCCCCACCGGAAGACTGGGAACATTCTCCTCGAGAGTGTATATTTGTGGTCGGAGGTGTTGTGGAACGAGAACATACCCGCGAGAAGTGCTCGCACCCTTTTCGGAACTGTATTATTCAGCAGTCAAATTCTGCCACAACAATTTCAACGTGATGACCTTGTTTTGTGCAGCGGCAACTGTTCGAGGTCGATGCAAAGTATCTTTCCTTATTCATAATGACTATTCTGCAAGTGCAAGTGTTTCCAATGCAGACAATATCGATGAACGACGACGGCAAGAATTCCGAAGGAGGATCATGGAGCAACCATCACTCAAAACACTTATGGATGGGCTTGTGGACATGACCATCAAATATTTGCGAAGTCTCCTGCTGTGCGAATATGAAGTAATAGAAAGTAATATAGAGTACAAGGATCCGGCGATGGACGGACAAACTGATACCATCATTGTAAAGGATTGGACAACTTATACAAGGACAGACTGAAATGTTGTCTTGATCGCATTAGTTTATCCCCTAAGTCGATCTAGTTACTAGGCTTGTTTTACCTACTAACTTATACAAGGACAGACTGAAATGTTGTCTTGATCGCATTAGTTTATCCCCTAAGTCGATCTAGTTACTAGGCTTGTTTTGCCTACTAACTTATACAAGGACAAACTGAAATATTGTCTTGATCGCATTAGTTTATCCCCTAAACCGATCTAGTTACTAGGCTTGTTTTGCCTACTTTCGGAGTGTCATTTGTGCTTTGTATTTAATTTTTTTTTTTCTTACTCGGTCAATGGCCTTGAGACATCATCTAA